AAATTATTGAAATGAAAACAAATAACTGAATATAACAATAAAATAAAATAAATTGTTGGAACTTCTGATTCCAAGTTAGGGCAAAATCAAAGAACTCCAAGTCTTGATTTACTTTCTGAGAATTGCAGAACTCCAAGTTCTTATATAGATATTATATGGATTGAGAACTAAGAGACTTTGGGTCTTTATTTAATTATATGAGAATAATTTAGGGACTTCAGGTCCTTGCATAAAATAAAAATGAAACCAAAGAAAAGAACCAAGTAAAAGTAAAATACAACAACAAAAAAATAAATCGTTGAAACTTCTGGTTCCAATGAAAAAAGAATCAAAGAGCTTCAGGTCTTCATTTGTGTTTTAAGAATTGGGGAACTTCAAGTCCACAAATATTTATATTATAAGGATTGCCTTTTAAGAACTGGTCCTTACATAGAAAATATTGACCAAAATAAAATACAACAACCAAAGTAAGACAATAATTAAATTGTCGTAAAATAAATAGTTGAAACTTCTGGTTTCAATAAAAGTGATTGAAGAACTTCTGATCTTTTATGCCTTTTGAGAAAAATGAGGAACTTCAAGTCCACAAATAGTTATTTTACAAGTATTGATATGGGAGATCTTCTTGTTCCAATTAATTGAAAATGAATTTAGGAATATTTAAACCTTAATTGACTATAAATATAATATAGTATGCACCAATAATTTCCTCATATCACTTAGAACTTTTGGTTATATAATTATCACATTTGTTCAATATTTAAACTTTAGGTTTAAATTATTATGATATGGACTTCATGTTCCAATATCTGAATTAACAAAATCCCTTTTTCATTTAGGTACATGGTGCTAAAGTTGTTCACAATAAATTGAACACATTACTGTACAGTGGGATTTACAGCTCAAACAAGACTACACAGCTTATGAGTGTCTTCAAATTTATAAACCATAATAATGAGAGAACCAACTAATATTTGGCATTGATCAACATGGTTCACATTAACATTTAATCACCTTTTCACTTTGTAAACCATAAAATTATATATGTACATACACATATATAAAAAGGATTTTCTTGCCTTTTTAGATGTATAGAAATTGTAGCTTCTAGCTCATTCCTTTACATGTATAGAATTTAGGATCTTCAAGTCCTTCATTAAATATATTGAGGATCAAGATCTTCGGGTCTTAATTCCCCCCTTTTTTTTCAGCTCCATCATAATACACATAGAGTGTAACCTATATTATCTTTTCATTTTGTATAAATGGGCATTGATTGCTTCTGGCAATTATGATTTCAGTTATATATATAAAATAACCATAAGTATCAATATTATATTACTATTGTAAAACGAAATTAACTAATAACCCAACATAAATAAAATAAAATGAGTAAAGTGGTATAAATGAGGAATAAAATAAATAAATTAAAGACTATGAAATTCCAAGATAATATAATATTAATATGGATTCAATATGTAGATAAAACTACAAGTTTAAGAATTGGATTTCCAACCAATTCAAGTTCATATAGTTACAAATAAGTAATGAACTTCAGGGTCATATATAGTATTAAGATCCGTGATAAACTATGAATTTCAAGTTCATATCAACATATATTCGAAACTTCAAGTTCGAATACGTAGATCTAAATAAATTGAATTAATAGTTGTGCTTTGAACTTCATACTCAAATCGATGTATATGCATTCGAAACTTCTGGTTCGGGTTCTTGACATATGTAGACCTCATGGAATTCTGATTTTAATTAATACAAAATCAAGGAGTCTCATGTCCTTATGTGCTCTTTAAATTCACAGAACTTCACAACCTCAATTATTTGGAATCAAAGAACTTTAGGTTTTGATTCAATCAAAAGGGCTCTATGTCCTAATCAAGTTATATGATGAGGATCGAGGAACTTCGGGCCCTGATCTTTTGTATAATACAAACTCATTATAATAATTAAGATCATACTTAAGATCAAATAAACAAACAAATATAAAATATAAAAAAACATGGCATTATATTCATGTGTAATAAGAATAAGGATTTTTTTTCTTAAACGGGCATGATGAAGTCTGATGGTGAGTACAAAGAAACTCTATACCATGTGATGACTCTAGCTCATATAAAAAGAGAGAAAATTCAGAGAAAGAAAACATACCAAGAGCAATGTCGTGCTGATAACGTGTTATATAACTAAGGGGAAAGTGTAGAGAGAATTGGAAAGTAGAGGAAGACAATAGAAATTGTTCAATCAACTTGTATTTCTCATCTTGATAAGACCTCTTATTTATAGGCTTACAATGGTAAGAAGACATTAACAACTCATAAGTTACAATCTCATAACTATGGTATTTAGTGTATGGGTTACATAGAATTAGAAAGGGTGAATGCTAAGAGGTATGGTGGTCATCCACCAACTCATGCATTTACAACAATTAGAAATATTTATTTCTAAGTATGTAATTATTGAATACTTAAGTGTTATATATATTTATATTTCTATTTCGGGCCCCCTAACTTTACAATTTTAGCTCTATTCCTGGACGAAACGCTTGCTCAGCCCCGCATCTCTTAAATGACTTCACTGTCAGTATCAATGCCAAAAAATTACAACAAAGAAATGAAACGCGGCAAACCAAAGGCAATAGTGAAGAAATTAAATATAAAAAAAAAATTAAAAAAGTGGGAGACAAGCGCATGTCTCCACCATGGCGTGAGTGCGATGCAAAAGACAAGACATTTCTTCCTTTAATGATTTAATTATAAAATATTATAAGTTGTAATGCCAAATATGCAATCAGGTCAAAAAGTGTATCAAGTGGTGTTTTTAATAGTATCCATCACGTGAAGTGATAATTACACCAAATTCGCCCACTGGTTGGAGAAATTATAGAATGGTACGGTATCACCACGTCAGCATGTGATACTTCCATTCATATATTGAAATGTGTCTTTTTTACCCTCCACTAATTAAATTATTTTCCAGCTAGACATTAGGTTTCAATTTTACCCTTTAGAACAAAATTAAAACAAAAAAAGAAAGAAGACGACTGCAGCCAAGGTCTGCAGTCCTATACCCCTTTGCTGCCGCCCCCTCCCCTTCTTTTCCTTCATCTCTCTCTCTCTCTTCTCTCTCTCTCTCTCTCTCTCTCTCTGAATCACTTTATTTAATAGTTGGCGTTTATTAGATCATCTCTTGTCAAGGCCATGCGGGATTGAGAGCAAAGTTGGATAAAGAGAACTTGGATCTTGAGTTTTTTAGGGAGATGAAGGCAACCTAGATGAGGAGATTGAAGGATTGGGGAAAGGAATACAAACAAGGAGGGAGGGCGCTGCAGAGGGGGACTGTTAACTGGAGGGAGGTGGGAGGGGCGACGCGGCTGAGGGGGCTGCGAACTGGACAGAGGTGGGAGGCTGTGACAGTTTTTTTTTCTCTTCTAATTTTTATGAAGGGTAAAATTGGAACCCAATGTCTAGCTAAAAAAAAAAGTATAAATTTTCTTTTAAAAAATACACGTGGCAAATGTGACCGCTCTCTTATATTATCATACATTAGCCACTGCATCAAATCTGATTTAATACCCCTTCACCATCATTTTATGCTATTGACTAGGAAAAAAGAAGGCTGTAGACCGTCGTCTAATGTGACCGCTATCTATTGTGACACTTTAGATGATGGTAATTTATCATTATTTGTTAACCATTTAGACAATGGTTTTACATGATCACCATTGTCTAATTATCAATTCAGACGACAGTGGATCACCATCCTCTATTTGTTATTTTTTGTCGTCTTAATGGTAATTAGACAACAGTAAAATTTCATTACCGTCGTCTAAGTGGTGATGTTTTGTAATGGTTTTTGTAGGTTTATATCTTTTTTTTTTGGGTTGTTTCATTTGCAATTAATAGACTTTTTCAATTCTCAAAACATGTTTCAAAATATTTCAATTGAAAAAATGTAAAGTGATCTCATACGACGAAATATGCTCCAAAATACAAAAGAATTCATCACAAGCATTTGTTGAGCATAAATTTTTGTCGTCAATTTAACCAAAATACAAAAGAATTCTTCTAAGTTACCCAGAAAACTCACTCCCAAGGTCTATGTATAAACCCCTAGAAATTCTGCTCCTTCACCACACATTTCATCAATCTCCTTTTGCGTGTAACTTTGATCAGGGTAAATAAAAAAGAAAAATTAGTCAATAAGTTCAACATCATGGTAACATATTTCTCAAGTCCTTCATATGACTCATTAAAAACTTAACAATATTGTTCAAAGCAACCCCTCTTTTTAGTCCATCAAAGGGCATATATAAATTGATATATTTTCCGTCAAGATGAGCATAACCATTTTACTAACCACTGCTAAACCATACGAAAGCCGAAACAATGCAGGGGAAACAAGAAAGAATGAAAGAGAACAAGAAGAGGAAATGCGACGCAAGTGAAAAATCAAGGCATTCTATAATTCCAAATGACTATTAATTTTGTAAGAATAATTCTTAGCACACGTGAAAGCATCATTCATCATTATCGACGATGGCGACCCCATCCCCCATTTGTAAGCATCATTCTTAGCCACAGAAGTTTGGAAACTCTGTCCCCCCAACGGAAAATATATAAGAGCCGTATTACAATCGCAAAAAGCTTTCATACAGCCTTACCTTTTGAAATCTATTTAAGAGCCGTAGATTCACAAAGAGATCAACGGCATTCGAGTCTGGTCAACTTGAGGACCGTTGACAGAAAAGTTTGAAAACTTTGTCCCCGAAAGAGAATAGTCCTTGAAAGTGAAAGAGATTTTTAAAAAGTTAATATTACAGGCTAATTAGAAGTTAATTATGATCACTTAGGCTAACAAACTCAAACACTCACTCACAGCCACCCAACGGAACTTAGATAAATACATAAAAAGCTTTCATACTTCCTTACCTGTATTTCCAAGTTACTTTCATCCAATTCCCTTGCAAAGAAAAGAAGAGAAAAATGGTTGGAGCTTTGATCGGAGAGGCCTTTATTTCTGCTTCCATCCAGGTGATTTGTGACAGAATTGCTTCACCCGAGTTCATCGACTTATTTCGGCACAAGAAACTCGATCAACCTCTCCTCATGAAACTGAAGAGGACCCTGTTGACCTTGAACGCAGTGCTTGATGATGCAGAGGAGAAGCAAATTGAGAAACCAGCCGTGAGAGAGTGGCTTGAGGACCTCAAACATGCAGTCTTTGATGCTGAGGATTTGCTGGATGAGATCAACTATGAAGCATTGCGATGCAAGCTCGAAGGTGAAGCTCAAACAGCGGACAAATTTACCAACAAGGTGTGGAACTTCCTCCCTACTTCTCGTAATAAGTTTTATCAAAGCATGAATGTTAAGATACAGGAGTTGTTACGAAAACTAGAAGACTTTGTACAACTGAAAGGTGCTCTTGGTTTGACAGAAGTTGTTGGGAGGAAGGTTTCACAAAGAACTCCAACAACTTCCTTGGTTCATGAACCTTTTGTATATGGTAGAGATGAAGTCAAAGAAAATTTATCAAAAGTGTTGTTCTCTGATGATGCAAGCAAGGAGTATGTGTCCGTGATTACCATTGTTGGAATGGGTGGGGTTGGCAAGACAACCCTTGCCCGCATGCTTTACAATGATGATAAGGTGAAAGGGCATTTTACATTTCAAGCTTGGGCTTGTGTTTCAGAAGACTATGATGCTATCAGGGTAACTAAAACTCTTCTTGAGTCAGTCACTTCAAAACCTAGTGATAAGACAGATCTGAATTTGCTTCAAGTTGAACTAAGAGAACAACTCAGGGGGAAGAAATTTTTATTTGTGTTGGATGATCTTTGGAATGAGAAATATTCTGATTGGAACTGCCTCCAAACTCCTTTTACTTCAGGGGCAAGGGGAAGTAAAGTCATCGTAACAACACGGAACAAAAATGTAGCATCTTTCATGCAAAATGTTCCTACTCAACCCTTGGAACCATTGTCGCATGAAGATTGTTGGTCATTACTTGCGAAACATGCATTTGGAAATGTAAGCTATAGTTCACATCCAAGCTTGGAAGAAATCGGCAAGAAAATTGCACGCAAGTGCAATGGGTTGCCTTTAGCTGCACAAACACT